CGAAGTCTGAGCAAGAACAAGGGAGAAGCATTCACGTTATCGCGGTGCTTGGCGAATCCGAGAAATGACACCAAGCAACGCCCATGAGGGAAAAGCGGTTCGTCGCTTGCATGAAGGCGAAATAATGTTCGTAGGGACCTTCGAACGTCTGGAAACCGTTCCCCAATTTCCCCCTTTCTGTTCCGAAATTGTTGAGGTCTTCCTTCCCGAAATGTTTCACTTGACACGATCGAATCATTTTTACATCTTTATGACACGCCTCGAAAATGAAAAAAAAAAATTCTGGCGCTCGTCGAAGGCTGCGAAGATCGCTGCGTTTTTACATCAGGAAAACCTGCCCAGTCGCATAAAACTCAAATTCTGAGTTACTTGCACCCTCTTTTCACCACCTAGTGGCACATTCCTTTGAAATGATGCGGTCGTCCAACCGATGTTAGTTTGAGTAAGTTACCAGGATTAGTTCATAACTTCGTCAGTCCTTGATTAAGTTTCGTGGTATTGATATAGACAGATATGCTTTTTACATTTTAATATCTGATCACTCCTTGAATACTGTTTTATCTTTTCGACAGAGGCTCGGAAGGGAAAATACGAATGTAAAGGTGGGAAATAAGGGTTACCTGCCACACCGCATTATTACTTGATAAATCTACAGGCGGTCTGAGCACTGTAGTAAAAGTTTCAAAGCATAAAAATGTTCTTAAGACGTATTCCACACCTGAAAAGAATATTCAAATGAAAAACTTGCTCTGCTCGTGGCAACGTGTCATTTAGTGCCTTGAGGCTGATTGCAAATGTTGACAAAAAATGCCATTGGATGTGCTAGACGTTGTCAGTCATACCTACCATAAAAAAAAACCGAACTTAGGAAATGAATGAAGACTCGCTCCAAGTCTCCTTATTGTTTCTACAGCACGTTATAAGTATTTGAACTGGGATAAATCGGTATCTAGTAATTAATATCAAGATACAGTACTGTACCTCATTTATATCAGAAACGTCTAAGTGATAACTTTTTGACAAAATCAGAAAAGCTCCGAAGGATGACAACAAAACAGCTTTGCTGTGTCATGATGAAGTCATTTCACGAAACGCAAAGTTCCTCCTGAAACATTCATGTCCCACGAATGTTTGATGAGCAAAGACAAAGTTGGGCGAACTTGTCATGATTTTTTGGTAAGGCCTGGAAAAATACATCATGGCTTTGTTTCACCTTCGTGAACTACAGTCTACAGCAGCAGAAAAAAAATCTAGCTCGTCCCATATCCGTCTTTTCAAAGCAAACTCGCCTTTCGTTAGTTGTTTGAAGGGCAGGATTTCCTGCTGGTGTAACAATCCACGTGTCCCGGGACCGAACTCTGCCTTCTCTCGCTCTCAGCAATTTAAAATGAACTCAGTCTCCGGGCTATTTGAGTTGCGGTATTTGTGGAGCGATGAAACATTTTTATTATCCCAGGGCGAGAGTTAGTTTCGGGCCCAGCTTTGTCATCAGTATTGACTGACGGAGTCGGTATGAAATGCCCTCGGGGCGCGATTGGCTAGTTTGTCCGCGAGCACATTTAGGAGAACCGTTCTCGCCTGGATATCGTTTAATGATTTTGATTGCAGCGTTGTGCTTCATTACCGAAACGTTTCTCATGCGTCGCGAACAGAAGCTAAACAGTGGACTCGTCTTGCCGTCGGAAGCACGCTTCGCGTTGATTGAAGACCGTGTCGGCCTCATCCTCCTCCAGCGATTGAACCTGTCCATTACCTTGCATATCCTCCGACTCGCTCAAAAGCGGAGCTCGCATCTGTGTACATGTGCCACATCCCCCCCCCCTAAATTATCCCGTCAAGCACGCAGGTTTTCCTCAAAAGACGTACTTCGTGTTTTATTGATGAAATGTGGTGGAAAATCGTTTCCGTTTTGAGTCTTTACAGCAAGGAACTCGGAAAATATTTCGAGAAAATAGTGGTAGGTGGAAACGCCACCCGGAAATCGATGATTGCAATCCCGGTCTTGCATTGAATACATTTCTAAAAGCAATCCCATATCTTTCTGAGGGGAATACAATATTCTTATTCTTTGAATTCACGCCAGTTCCGTTTCCACGGTGGCAATCTTTTCCAAAAATACATGGAAACAATTTTAGTTTTGCATGTGCCTCGAGAGTTTAAAATAGCCTCGCGTTACTGAAAACGTAAATCTTTCATTTCTAGAAAAGGCGAGGTGGTAATACAATCGCGTCTTTGAAACTGGTTTCAGTGATTTATTTTGGCTTGTTAGAAATAACGGTAAAACTCACTTAGGAAAAATCGCGGAATGTCTCACATGCTGCACGGTTTGGCATGGTGTGGGAAAAAGTCAATTTTCTCCTGAACAATGCTCGCCAACTCATAAAAAGGGTCCGATGACAATTCATCCCATTCCATTCGAAGTGACGTATAATTGATTTTATTGCCGCGTTGATATGACCAGCTTTCACAGTTCCAATTAAAGTGAAATGAATTGTCTCTGGATTAGTGATTCTGAGGGGGCTCATTCAACGGAGAAAATTCTTTTCTGTTTTTTTTTTCGATGATTACGTATAGAATTGGGAAGGGAAAGCTAGAATTTTTTACTGCCGAAATCCCTTTTCTCGCTTGTTCTTCGCCAATCACCTTTGATAAAATTCGTAAAAAATCTTGGAATAAGTTTTCCGAATACCCCATAGGTTCGGAATATTTAAAACTTAGAGAGCAATTACATTACGCTTTTACTTCTCTCCAATTTAATAATTTGAATTTACTGCTTGAAAGTGTGAATAATTTTTCTGGACCCCTTCCACGTGTTCTTTCTCTGAGCATCGTTTGAACATGTCTCTTTGTACATCCGTGTCATGTTAAAATCGGTAACCTGCAGATTGGTTTGCGCTCGCCTGGTTTGAGCTTAATGCGATTTTTCAGCTTTTGTCGAGTAACAGTGAAAGCTCAAGCCGAGCTCAAACTTTCAACGCCAGTCATATATACTGTATATTTATGTATATATATATACAAGGATATCAGCTCAACCCTCGAAAAACACCTCAAGCCACTTCGATCATGTCAAAGCACGAAAGCTTATCGCATTTACAGCCCAGAAGCAAAATAACTTTTAGCTTTGAAGCGATCCGAATATTTGAGCATCCGCAGAATTCTTTATCATTGTTGATGCATTGGTTTCTGGTTTAATTGGTGCCTGTTTTTTTTTTTGTGAAATCCCCTTGGGTACGAATCTTATTGCCCGAGGGGTGCCTTCGCACGGAAGGTCAAGTCGGATGTTGTCGAAATGTCGGTTGCGGAATTGCAGTTGTGGTCATGGAATTCAACGAATTTTTCTTACTCAAATCATTGCTGAAAACGTGGGTGCGTATTATATTCACCTTGGCATATATTCGCGCGAACGCGGCATGCTTCCTCAGCGAAAACCATGGACATACAGAAAATTAAAAGTCACGGTGCATTCTAAACTTATGGCACAAAACTTTGAGGATCAAATAATTTAATGCATTAATTTTGGAAAAATCCGGAGCAGATTTTTTCAATAGCTGAATAAAATGCACCGGATTGAGAAGTTGCCGGAAAATTCGAGCGTAACTTTACTCGGAATGTTATTTTTCGCATTATCATAGTGTCATGTGTGCATCCCCCCGAGAGTTGTTGAAATCTACGAAAATCAGGGCAAATATTTCAGAAAACGCATTACATTCTATGCAGTATCCTACGTAGAGTAGATTTCCAACACTGGAGTGCGGGGCAATAAATGCCACGCGGCATATTTTTGCGAAAACAGGTGGACTCTCTCTACCACGAAACGGAAAGGGCAAAAAAATCGTCGTAGGGAGAATTTTGTTGCAGAGAATTAGTTGAACTTCGGGAGTGAATCCTATGAGACCAAATAAAAATTCGTTATGGAGAGAATTTCGTTGTAGACAAGATCTTTGTAGAGATAGTCGATTTTTTTCCACCTGTACGATAGGAGTTTCAACTGTTCTGGTTCATTGCCCACTCACAAATATTTCCTGATTTTGGTTTAATATCGCGCTGGTTTCCTCGGATTTAAAGTAAGAAGCAGTCTAGGCTTGCGGGAATGCATCCCCAGAATGAGAGTCAACACACATGGACTTGAAAAAAATTACCTTTCGTCTTCTGTAGGTCTTACAAATGTACCGCAGAGGAAGACTAATTTTTTTTCTTCACTGCATTCCCCCTGGAAACGTAATTCGGACTGCTAGTCTGTTGGCTTACGTTTCCCTGGAATAATTTTCAATATTTGGTGCCCATGCAGCCGACCCCGTTGAAATTGATGCCCAAAATCATGATCGCGTAAAAGTGACGTTCCAACCAGCGCTTTATTGTAACTCATTCTCGTCTCCGAAGAAACCATCGCCTGTGTTTTCTTTGTGTTTTGTTTTGAGAAGCCCTCGGGGTACTTCTTGGGAGGAGGTGGTTGCGTCGGATGTTTACGAGAAATTTCCGGAAATGAAATTGCCGTCGTGATCGCGAAATTCCCGGCAAGGCGGGGCGTGGTGAGTGGCGCTCTCGTCGTCTCGCGTCATTGCGCAGCTGCATCATTGTTGACGTTTCCCCGCCGCGCTTCCCCCATTATTTCCCCGCGCAGGAAAGAATTTCTAGTTCTTCCTGCGGTTTCCCGTTCATTCCTCTCGGACTTCCTTGGCTTTATATTCCACGGTTTAGCGGGCGCGCTAATGGACGCGCGGGGGAGTTCGCCGCCGCGCTCTGCGGACACGGCTGTGGCCCGATATCCCTTCTGCGTCATGTTTCAGTGAGCACGAAGAAAAAAAAAAAGAATTCATTCGAATGCGAACTTGAGGAGAGAAACAGCTGAAGCTCCTGGTGTTGCTCAATTCACTTGCCTCTTTTATACAGTACCGCCGTGTGCAGCGATTCCCCTCAACATACCCCATCATTGAAGTGGCGAGCGATTGTGGTGCGTGTGCTGACTGGGTTTTGAATTGTTGGGCTTTTTTTTCTTGCAGCTTTCGCCGGAGACGCGACGGAGTCGATTTTTTTCGGGTCTTCGTCAGTGTGATCGATTCATTGGACTGCGGGGGAAAAAGCACTGGGTCTCGGAGCGATGGCGAAGCGACCTGGGATGCGGTTCACTTCTGCCACGAGTTTGCTGTTCGTGATCTTCGTCAGTTTTCAATTTTCCGGTGAGTAATCATGACCTCTTACCTGCTCTTTATGGCTACCATATTTCATCGATCAAATGCCTGCTTATATTTTCGTAGAAAGTGAGCCAACAATTTTAGAGTACTCGAGATAGTCCTGTACTCGAATTGTCGTATTTACGCACGCGTAATGTTCAATTTTTTCCTGGAAATATGCCGTGGAAAAAGTCGAGCGCGGCCTATAATTTCGAGATTGTTCGAACATACGCCGCACCGCACTTACCTGAGCGGACTACCACTGAGATAATGTGAAATATCTGAAAAATTGCAATTGAACTGTACTTTGAAAAAAAGCACATTTCCAAGCCAGAAAATGTATCGCAGGACTTCCGTGGGTTTTACTTCACGGGTGCCGGAGAAATTATACTTTCCTCCGCATCTTGGATGCTTTTCTCAATTCGGTTGCTCCGCTTGTACACGGTCCGTATTTCACCCCAAAAACTAAAAAACGGCACACCCTTTACGATTTTCGTTGAACATTTTACGCAAAATCCGGGTGTCGCGCAAAAAAGAAAAAAATATTCTACAGTAATCTACACCGATGTATACGATTTTTTTTTCACGCAACGTGACGAACTTCGTTAGATTTTGTGGCGTATGTACAGTAGTTCTATCTCCATGAAATGGTTGCCCAAGAGGCCAAGAAGCGTCTTTTAATTGAGTAAATATAGATTCTAAAATACTCCATTGTCAAAAACAACAAGAATCGCTGCTGCTTAGGATCACTTATCCCACTCAAAATTATAAAAAGAGATTCTTTATAGTTTGGTTAATCTCATACAATATTTCTCTCTATTACGAGATAAAAAATCTCATACATTTTTTTTCATGCTTCGAGAAAAATATTTCAATTCCGAGATGAAATTGATTTCAGACTGATAATGAATGTATGTGCATAATGAATATAAAAAAAAACATTTCTCCTTCTAAATGTCGATTGCTATAGCTCAAGAGAATGCTGCTATTATCCAATTTTTCATAACTTTTTTCTTCAGGAAATTTAGCAAGTTTCCCAGTCCGAAGCCCAAGTTTTCTTCTGTGATAAAAAAAAATATGTGAGGCCTATGCAGCCTAGAGTTTTTACCCCAAATTATGATTTGGCTTGTAGTTGTGTGTGGCCTATAATCAGGTAAATACGAGATTACGTCCCTCGATTTTAGCTGGTTCTCGTCCTGAACGAACCCTGGCGCAGAACGCTGTGATTTATTCCACTCGAGGCTTCAAAATTTTCCACCGATCGACGCGAAAGTCCCATAAGAATAAAACGCATCATTTTTCAAAGTTTGAAACGCTTTTGCAGTAAACTGCATTGGATTCGCCTGATCACGTGTCAAATGAGCAATGAACTTCAAAGGTTCGGAATCTCGACTGGAAGGTGGAAGGGTTCGCTTTGTGCATGTTCGAAACTTTAATGAACTTAGCGGGATAATGCGGGATTGCTTCGCTCTTTATCGTGTCACGCTACGACGGTTTGATTGCGTCGGATTCGGCAGAAATTGACCCGTTAATGCGCCAAGGTTTAATTAATGGGGAAAAAAGATTCAAAGGATGTACGGACGTATGTTCTGCGATTTTCCCAGCGCGAAGTCGAATGATGATGATTCGCCTGAATTGCACGGGACACGACGTCTGATGTTAGGTGATAATGCTCTCTTCGATCAAAGCATGAACCTTTTCGAGCGAGTATAATTTCAGCCAACCTAATATCGGTACCAGATTTCTGTCTTCATTTGAAAACGGATAATGATTCGAGTTTCAAGGACCTACGTTTTCGATTTTTAATGGTAATAATTTTTTGTGCGTCATCGGATCTCCCCAAAATTGAGAAACCGCCAGCCCCTCACCTGCTGCTATTATATCAGGAAATATTTGCATAGAAATTTGTTCCCTGACGTTCCTTCTTCAAAAAATCATCACCATGGTTCCTGATTATTTAAATTCATTTTACTGTATCACAGTCCGCACTTTTCTAAAAAAAACAAATGACCTGATGAACTACAGTGCGACTTATATTCGATATTCACTATTTACGCATACATTTCATTACATCAGTCTCATCTATGCGATTTACGATCAAGATGCATATGTGGATTAGAATTAGATAATTATATTGAAAATTACATCGAATTACGTTTATTTAAATTTTTATGTATTGCCTTCTGGCTTTCGTATAATCAGCTAAATTTTGCATTTCCGTTGGAAATTTGAAGCGAGAGAAATGAATGCCTGTCTTAGATTGAACCAAAGGATTCCACGATTATTTTCGCTTTACGCATTGGTATGCAGCTTTTCTTTCCTGTCTAGAATTGCGAAATGTATGCGAACAGTTTTCGATGCTTCCCAAGAGCAGATTTTTTTTCCTGATGCAGCTTTTAATAATCACATTGGCATCCCTAAATTATCCGCAGTCGGGGGAAAAGGTTTTACGGGCAGTTCTCGAGGACTAAAAAATCGAAATCGGTTTTAGCCCTTTTTTGCATCAGGTTTGATGGAAATGTAGGTCCTAGTGGAGGGTACAAGGAGGGATTTTTTTTAATACGGAAGGTGGTTAGGGTCTTTTATGGATATTCCTGGATTTTGGCCCCAGGCATAAAGCATAAAATATTTGTTGGCCTCACAAAACTGGAATTCCTGCAAATTTCACGATTGGTGCTACGAAATGAACGACCTCCTTGACTAACAAGCTTGAAAATACCAAAGATCGGCTATCTTTTACCCTTTCCCCCGTCTAGGTGTCATAGTTCGTTTCATTAACGTTTCGAACAAACGGGAAACTTTATTTGCTCCATTATGAACCTCTGGTTGTAATACAGTGCAGTACAGTACTGTACTCACCACAGACACAGTGCAAAGTTTACAGCTGACGCAAATCTGACGTTTGCATAGGTAAATTTGACGAATGACGCGAGATGCGTCAATATGTTATCTGATGACCGTAATCAAGCTGTCAGAATTAGTTGCGCAAACGATGACTGATGCAGAGCAGCAAAGAATCAAGCAGAAGGCACAATTGCTCCTACTGTAAACAATCATCTACTGTTCATGGATGTCATTGAACAATACTGGATATAGAAAAATTTTCATTCAAGGAAAAACATTCTTTGAAACCTTGCTAGTTAATTGATACAAATGGAAAGAAAGTCGAAGAAACGCGGAGTGCCGAAAATACCCACGCATGACTGAGTCTCACTTTGTTCCTAACGCATAAGGCAATATATAGGTTTAAAAAATATTGCCGGAATTTCTGAGAATTTCTTACTCGAGGGAACCTCGTAGTTTTAAGCTTCATGTTGGAATGAATTATTAAAGGTAATGCCCGGGGTTTTTTCAATATATATTGTCTTTCTTTGAAATTGTCCTGACGGCGGGGAAACAGTCTCATTACATATTCCCGAGGATATGGAAAAAGTAGAAAAATGAATCCCTTGAAATATTTTTCGAGGTAGAAGAAAAATTAGAAATGTTGTTCATGTTCAAATCTATTCCTCCATCTGTTATTGCACGAAAAGGAACAATTCTAGTCTTCTGCTGAAAATCTACTTCTTCGGTTCATCGGTTCATCGTACCATCAACGTTTTGTGAATGTAGAGCAATGCTTTTGTAGTTTTTCACGAATTAAAAGACATTTTGGAAGATGATCTAAAATCGCAAATAGAAAAAAAAACCGAATTTTATTTGGGAAAATCTTGTCACTCCGCACTTCCGCAGCTAAAATGGCAGAAAGAACTACTGTATACTGCAGTGCTTCTTCTTTATCCATCACAAAATTTGTAGCGCCTGGGCTTGACTGAAATGGCATCACACAATTTTCCTCTGTATGCCGTAATATAAGTGATACGAACGTTCGTAAAAAAAATTTGTCCCGTCAACATGATAAATCGGAAAAATCATGCTTCGACACATTTCTATCCAGCTTTGAGGAAGCAGAGAATGTACTGTACTCGTTCACTGTATATGAAGCCCTGCAGACTTTAAACGGATCTTTAGGACTCTATAATCACAAGAAAAACAGACTTATAATTATCAGCTTCGTGCCGTAATGAATATTCGAAGTCTACTTCTGCAGAATTATTATTTTTCGGTAAATTTTCCAAAACCAAGTCAAACGCTTGTTACGATGAAGGCGAGAAAATGAGCCATTTATCCTTCGTTCACGAAGCAATTCCGGCCGAACAAATTGAACTCATGGCTTTCTCGGGACGCAGCCGTGGAGCGAGTCGATTAGAGTCGGGCCACATCAGTCCTCCATCTCGTTAAAGCGATGGATGCAAATTCCTCACGCGGCGTCCGAGTACGAGCATCAGGTGCCTCAATCCCGAGATAGGATCGACTGCATCCGTCTTGCGGTCAATCAATTTGCGCGGCTTCGTAATGAGGTTCTGGCTCCGTCGGTTTCACTTTGTTCAGCATTAACTGAGTTGACAGTTGTATAAATCATTGCCGATGGAAGTGCGTCCGTTAATCCAGCTCGTGTTCGTTTGTTAGACGGTTCTATCGGCGATAATGCATCACGTGGAGCAGCTCCGCACTGCGCAAATTATCGCGCATGATCCGTAATTACAACCGCTACTCGAGGAAAACATATATATACCGTCAGAAAAATACATTTTCAACATCGTTGCTGACGTTGAAATCATTCGCCATTATTTCTCGCTCATTTCGTCCGTGTGCTGAAACTGCTTTTTTTTCTTGCTTCTTTTTCTTCGTGGTGACTGAAGCGCAGCCAACACCTTAGCGCACAGCAAGAAAATTCAACGTTCCCACGAAATGCATGCTGAATTTCCTTAAAAAAAAATTTCCAGCCCATAAATGGCATTCTTTTGATAATTAACTTTTTATGGGTCTTCGAGTATCATGATTTGTTAAATCAATTTGACGAGGACCGTTCTATCGGACTTCGAGAACGAGCTAATGGCAATTACTGTACGCTTAAAAATGAATTAAAATCCCGTCCAGGTAGAGGTAAATGAACTTACATATCG